CTCCAGGCCCGCCATCCTCGTCGTGGCCCTGCGCTGGACCCTCTCCAGTAGCTCCTTGTCCTTCTGGAGCTGAAGAGCCCAGAACTGGACACAGTACATATGATACTCTATAATGTATGCACGTTATATTGTATAATAAATATATATCTTTATAATGGAATCTATGTATTATAAAAACACTGTCAGCAGATTTTAGTGGGTGACATTAACATTAAACCACAGAATCATTGAATAAAGACCCATATCTGATTCCCTAGAGATAGCTGACCCAGTTCTTCATCCCGCTGAAATCACTCTTGTCTGATTCAGTTTGAGCACAGACAACATCTGTCTGCGAATTTACTTAATCACGTGCCCCTGCCATGGTACCAAGCCCCGTTCACCTCTTGCTCACGCAAAGCCCCACCTTTCACGAGCACAGCAGCGGTGGTTTGCTGGTCCCCTGTGTCGCAGGTGTATTCCCCGGTGTCAGCCTCACTCAGGTTGTGAATTGTCAGCTCAGCCACGGATCCAGCTTGGCGCATCTTGTATTTGCCACTGGGTCGCAGCACTGTCCCGGCCTTCTTCCACTGCACAGTGGCATTTGATTTTGAGATTTCACAGCTCAAAGTGATAGTGCCGCCTTCTTCAGCCTCTTGGTTCTGGAGCGGTTGTGTGAAGGTTACCGACAAAGCTAAACCAAGACAAACCAGAGGAAAAAAGATTATGTTTCACTGCTGTGTCGCTAAGTCTTGTGTTTAATGAAACTGTGGTGCCGTTCCACATTTGGTTCAGACTCAATTCCAAATTTACTTTAAAACACAAACAAGGAATGTCAGAAAGTGCTGGATTTCCCACAGCACCAAGCACTTTGCACTCCCCAAAAGTCACTGGGCACTGCACACACTGAGAAAGTCTGGGAACGTTTTCCTTTTTAAACAGGAGCAGTCATGGACATAGACTCTTGAGCAACCAAGTGCATGTATCTCCAAATGGGTACCAAAGCCACAGCTCAAAAGCTTACACCTGACAGGTAAGTTCTTGGGTATTTGGGAAGATGCACAGAGAAACAACATTATATAATGCCCCTCCTTTAAAAACTGGACTTGGAAGAGATGACCTCTGGAAGTCTCCACACGGATGTATATCACTGATGGGTCAAGATGGAGTTGTGATGGGTTGATTTACAATGCACTGCATGTGTAAGTTTAGTCCCTCAGGTCCAGTTCCCTAGAAGAACCTTGGTGGCTCCACAGTGATGGCTGAATCGGTATTTTCAAGGGAATCAGAGACTCATGGAATGGTTTGGGTTGGAAGGGATCTTAAAAATCATCTAGTTCCAACTCCCCTGTCATGGGCAGGGACACCTTCCACTAGACCAAGTTGCTCCAAGCCTCATCCAGCCTGGCCTTGAACACTTCCAGGGATGGGGCATCTACAGCTTCTCTGGGCAACCTGTCCCAGTGCCTCACCACCCTCTCCGTGAAGAATTTCTTCCTGATATCTAATCTAAACCTCCCTGATTTCAATTTGTACCCGTTACCCCTTGTCCTATCACTACAGGCCCTTGTAAAAAGTCCTCTCCCAGCACCCTTGTAGCCCCTTCAGGCACTGGAAAGCTGCAATGAGGTCTCCTCGGAGCCTCCTCTTCTCCCGGCTGAACAAGCCCAATTCTTGCAGCCTTTCATCATAGGAGAGGAAGGAGATGGGGCTCCAGAAATCAGAGTGAACCCACAGGAACCAGGTGGCAGATGTGTATAAGAGGGGATAGATCTGAAGGTCCTTGCAGGTGATGTAGGAATGGATGGTGTATTCTGTGGGACAGCTGGGTTCACGGCTTTTGTACGGTTGCATTTGCAGTGAAGGCATCCCATTGTGCAGCCACGTCCTGCAGCCCTAGAGCTCTCAGGGGCCAGCAAAGAGTAAGAAAGAGAGAAATAGTCTTTGTGAAGATCTACTCTGTCAGACTGTGTCACCGTTGATGCAGAAATCAAATTCACAAGAAAGGACCAGCCTCCGCCAGAGCGTCCCTGAATCCGACACACAGCACATCTAAACCAACCTAGAGCTGCCCAAAAAGTGAAGCGAAAGCTTTTTGTCACCTTTCAGTACCAAAGATGCCACAGTTTGCTCATCATCAGAATCGCAGATGTAGTCTCCAGCATCCTTCAGCCGCAGATCGTGGGTGAGTAGCTCCGCAGCAGAGCCCATCTGCTTTACCCCATAATTGTTGCTGGCTGGGAGCAAGACTGACCCTTTTTCCCGCTTCACTGGTGCATTCTTTGGAGAGCTCGGCATGAAGAGTGCCTGTAGGGCCTTCCTCAGCTTCCTGGCTTAGGAGCTTTTTTCAAGGAGTGCTGGAGTGGCTGGGACCACACATCGGGACACAAATGGGCAGCCGACATGAGAGGATTTGCTTACAGCACAAATATCCTGGTATCACTGGATCACTAGTGTGATAGCAGGCAGGCACGTGCACGTCATGGGAGAGCCCCCAAGGGATATTTCAAGGAAGCATTTCACAAGGACATGAAATTACATGAAATTTCTATGACATCCTGGCTGCTCTTTAATTTTGCCGATCTTGTATGTCAGAAATAGTCACCTTAATATCGTATTTGTAGCAGAGTAGATTTTTAAAATCTGATATATTGGCACCTTACACCTGTTCTTAAGGCCTAGGCACTACAAGTATTTCCATGCCTTGCTCATCAGCTGGAGTGGAGTGCCTAAGCAACTTTGTGCACTTTGACTCTTGAGAACCATTTTCCCAGGTGGAACTACAGCTGAAAGGATGGTGAAGCATCAAAAACTGTCTCATTCTAATTTTAGTTCCATCTTCAATTTTCTGAGTGATGAGGAAGAGGCCCTTGGTTCTAGGGCTGTGGAAGCAGTTACTGTACTTGTGTCCCTCCATGTTCGTTGCTCAGGACTTAATTTCTGAAAGCAAAAGGACTCAGCTGCCTTATACCAGCGAAGTGCATCTGAAGTCAAGGAGAGTAGAGAGAACCCTCTTGCCAGTTCTGAGCTAAGGAAGTGGAACAAGTTTCTCATCCTGAAAACAAAACAACCTACCTTTAACAGTTACAGTGGCTGTCGTTTGTTCATTTCCGTTATCACAGGTGTATTTGCCAGAGTCTTCCGGTTTTAAGTGATAAATCTTTAAAGTATGGATTGTTCCCTCCTGCCTGATTTCATACTTGGAGCTTGAGGAAATCACCTGGGCGCCCTTTTTCCACTCCACCACAGCATTAGGCTGGGAAACCTCGCACCGGAGGATGGCTGTTTCTTCTTCCTGCAGTTCTGCGCTCTGCAGTTTCTCCTTAAAGACTGGAGGTGGCACTGAAATTACAAACACAGCCAAGGCATTTACA